CGGAGAGGCTTCCTGGAACATGATTTCGAACTAGGCCCTCTTGGGCCTCCCTCAGGCCGTCTTGGGAGCCTCCTGGGCCGGCTTGGGGGCCTCTTGGGCCGTCTCAGGGGTTCGGTGAGCCCCACAGGCCGACCCTTTTGGGCCGTCTGGGGCCCTCTTGGGTCTCTCCTGGGCTGTCTTGGGGCTCCTCGGGGGCGTCTGGGGCACTGCGAAGACGAAGCCAGCAAGTATGCTGAAAACATACGTTTTACTATGGAAATGAGCCGATGTTTGCCTCTTGAAGGCCCTCTCGGGGCCCTCCTCGGCCATCTTCAAGCCATCTCGGGCCCTCTGGGGCCTCACTGAGGCTGTCTTGTGGGCCTCTTGTGTGCCCTCGGAACCCAGAAATCATGTTCCCGGAGAGGCTTCCAGGAACATGATTTCGAACGAGGCCCTCTCGGGCCTCCCTCAGGCCGTCTTGGGGGCCTCCCGGGCCGGCTTCGGGGCCTCTTGGGCTGTCTCGGGGGGTTCGGTGAGCCCCACAGGCCGACCCTTTTGGGCCGTCTGGGGCCTTCTTGGGTGTCTCTTAGGATGTCTTGGGGCTCCGCGGGGGCGTCTGGGGCACTGCGAAGACGAAGCCAGCGAATATACCGAAAATGTACGCTTTACGAAGGAAGCGTGCAGATGTTTGCCTCTTGAAGGCCCTCTTGGGGCCCTCAGGGGCCCTCTTGGGGCTCTCTTGGGCGTCTTCGGGGCCCCTTGAAGCTTTCTTGACCATCTGTACGGCCCGCGTGGCCTGTCGTGGGCAATTTGGAAGCGGCCAAGGGCAGTCCGGGGGGGTCTCTAACCCCCCAAAGGTTCGGGGGGGCGGCCATGGGGGATGACGGCACCGATTTTGCCCCCCCCCCCCCCCCCCCCCCCCCGATTTTAGTCGAAGTCACGGCAAGGCTCTGGCAGAACTGTTTCGTGCATCGCCATGTAATAGCTATCAGTGCAAGACAGGCAGGATAATCAAATACAGAGGGGGGCAAAGTGGGCTAAGACCATGAAGAGCAGCCGCAGCAGCAAGAGGATCAAAGGCAGAAAGACGATACGCCAGGACAGTGAAGGACAAAGGGAACACCCGAACTCAAGCACAGGAATTATGTTCCCGGCAGGTTTTCTGGGAACATATTTCTTAAGGCGGGGAGACAGCTCGAGAAGCAACAGGAGACGGACGAGGAACACTTTCGGGGCCGTCTTGCGGCCATCTGGGAGCCGTCTTGCGGATGTCTTGGGCCGTCTTGCGGCGGTCTTGGGAGCCTCTTGGGCCATCTTGGGGCCGTCTTGCGCGCGTTGGAGCCGTCGTGACTCATCTTGAACCCCTCGTGGAGCCCTCCGGAGCTGTCTTGGGGCCCTCCAACAGCCGTCGTGGGAGCCGCTTGAAACCCTCTGGGGCCGTGCTGGTGCGGTGTAGAACGCGTCGTGGGCCGTCTTGGAGCGTCGGACAGGCAGGAAGGTCTACATGCCAAAAATCTGCGCTTTTCCAAAGGAATTAAACGATTTGTGGCTATTGAATCTCTGTTCGGAAGGCTGTGGGAGCCATCTTGGAGCGTCTGGAGGGCCTGGTGGGCTGTCTTGGGAGCCTCATGGAAGCCACTTGGGGCCTCTTGTGGCCTCTTCGGAGGCTTCTTGAGACTGAGGGCTCCAATTTTCGGCGAGGGGGCCACGATCCTGAGGGGTGCCAAAAAATGGCCCGGGGGGGCCGCCATGGTGACCAGAGGCAGCAGCCGGGCCCCCCCCGGCCTACTCCGATATATATATATATATATATATATATATATATATATGTGTGTGTGTCTATATGTATATATGTATATATATACATATATACATGTTTGTGTGTATGTGTGTGCGGGGGGGCAAACATTGCAATCATCAGCCGCCAAGACACAGGCGGGCCACTTGTCAACGCGTCCCTGTAGTACGGAACCTCACTATGATAACGTCTGAGGCCTTGCCAATTTGACCAAGTGGCAGCGTGGAAACATATCTTGACTAGGTGAAGGGAGGGGCAAGTGCGAGCCTCGAGTTACCTCCCTCTCTCTATCTTACATACACACATCACTCCCTCCCCCTCTCCCTCGCGCACACATAAAACACACGCATTCGCACGCCCAAACAATCTGGGAAAAGAGAGGAAGGGGGAGGGTGGCATGGGATTTTTCGAGTGGCGAGGGTACCTTGGTGCAGCCGCGGTGAAGGGCAACCGTCCAAACTGCTATCTCTGCTCCTCTGCTCTGGTCTGCACTTGGGGTCCCAAACAACAGGGTCCTGGTGGAAGGGAGGCGACGGGAGGCAAGGTGGGGAGGGAGGGAACAAGCGGGAGAGGGCGGGGAAGCCAACAGACGTGTGGGAAGGGATGGGAGCTGAAGGGGAGGTAAGGACGCAACGAGGCCCGAGTGGGGCACGCAGGGAGACTCCGAGTTGCGCAAACAAGCGAACCTGCGAATTCGCTCGACGGGGGAGACGGCGCGGCACGGGGGACCGCAAAAAGCTGGAAGACGGCGAAGAAGGCGATCTGCTGCAGGAGTCTGTTCCCGGCCTCGCGGATGAGAACGACAACGAAGAGAACGAAGAGAGCTGGGACAGTGGCGACGACGAATGCAAGGAGGATGGAAAAGAGATGGAGATACTGGTGGCATCGTAACGTGGCTTGTCATCTTGGTTGATTACACGGCAGGCCCTGGTGGCAAGCGGTCCCGCGAATCTCGTGAGAGCACCAGCAGGGCTGGAAGGAGGGTGGAGGCGGGGAGGAGCGGCGGAGGGAGCAGGAGTCAGCTGGTATTGTAACGACGGTCAGATGGGGATCTGGCCGAGAAATAACACATCAAAACGGTCAGCGCGGACCACCCTCCCTGGCGCGGGGAGCGGGCCAACGGCGGCGCCGGAAGCGCCAACGCCGGGAAATTCGCCCGGAGCTCAGAAAAGTCACGTTTGTGCTGGCTTTCCTCTTCGACTCCTTCTCCTGGGTGCGCCGAATATCGGGGCAAGACGGGGGGAGGTTGGCGAATCACGGTCCGAGGCACGTGCGCGTGCGAGGAGCGGCCCAGGGGGCGCATGGAAAGGAAAAAGAAAGGGCCATGAGATCTGAGACGTTTCGTGGCCCTGGCCATGAGGTCGACACACAAACGCGCTTGTAACTTTCGAGCCCGTTGATCCATCACGGCGAGCTCTGAGGCAAGACAGTCCACGCCTGGATCAATCGCCACCAAGCGTCCGCCGGTGGGTGGTCAGGGCAGTGCGTAGCTGACGCGCGCAAGGAAGAGGGACAGAGCACACACACACACGCACACACACACACACGCACATACACACACGCACATACACACACGAACACGTAGACGCACACACACACACACACGGACACACGCCCACGCACACGCACACACACACACACACGCACACACACACACGCACACACACACACACACGCACACAAACACACACACACACACACACACCCACACACACACGCACACACACAGAAGATGAGGCATCAATCCGACTGATCAGTCAAGATATGCGCATACCTGGGCTTGGGCAGCGGGGCCCCCCTGAAGCCCTGACCCCGTCACACAAAGACACACGCACACACACACACATACACAATATGCCAGTTTTCGGTCGTAGCGGCGGGGCGACTAGCCAGCGCGTCGGGCGCCCCTCGCGGGGCGAACACTGTCGAAAATAGGAAAAGAAAAAGAGAGACGGCTGGCCCCTCACAGGCCGGTGGCCGTGGGCGGCGGGAAGGCAGCGGGCAGCGGAAGCGCGGGTGGCGGGGCAGCGGGCGGGCGGGGGCCGCGGGCGACGAAGGTGGGGCGGGTCAGCAGCAAGGCGACGCCGCGTCAGGGATGTGGCCGCAAAATAATGACGCGCAGCGGCGCAGCGGGACACTCTCTCTCTCTCTCTCTCTCACACACACCCACACACGCACGCACGCACGCACGCACGCACGCACGCACGCAAACACACACACACACACACGCGCACACGCACACGCACACACACACACACACACACACACACACACACACACACACACACACACACACACACACACACACACACACACACACACACGCACACGCACACGCACACGCACATACACACACACACACGCGCACAACATCGCACAAGGATGCGTAGGGCGTCTCGGAGGGCCAGCGGGTCTGGAGGACGTATCGGGCTTCGCGGCGGTTCTAGGGCGATCCAAAACGCACAGAGAGCGTTCTGGATCGCTGTGGCAAGTTGAATCCTCATCCTAGGCTTAGGTCGGGCGTGTCCTCCTACAGGCGGATTGTGGACGAAAAATACAAACATGTTTAAAACAGATTCACGAATAGCGAAAAACAGTAGAAAAAAATCGTTTCCTGTGAACACTCCTCCTGTAGTAGAGGGACATGTCCGACCTAATCCTAGGCCTGCCCGAGGGAGGTCGCCAGCTGCACAGCCGCACTCATCCTGGTCTAGCCCATCTCCTGGGCCTAGGATTGGTACACATGATGCGCACCGAGCTGCCCTCGCCAAGAAAAAGCAAACGAAGAACGATCATCTGGGGCAGGCGTCCTCGATGGCCAAAATTTGTTTGTAAAGGTGTTGAAGGGTTCCTCCGAAAACCTTCAAAATACCTTCCTCAAAAAGGTGTCAGGAGGATCCCCTCCAAACAAACATTCGAAAACCTTCCTGAGGAATGTTTTTGGACAGTTGTGCACCGATCCCAAGCCCAACATCTGCCTGGCCAAAATCGGTGTGGGTGCAAAGCCCACGTCCGCCGATCCGTGGGCCCCTTGCGAGCAACCCCGCAGCAGGAGGGTGCGGCGAGGCGCAGATGCACTCGGCCCGAGCCTCGGTCTTCTTGTCGGTGAGGTACCCAACGGGATCTGCCATCCTCCCGTCGGGTCGACGCGCAGCACATGTGCCAAGGCCATCTCGCACTGCGCTTCCCAGGCCTCCCTGACCATCTGTCCACTTCACCCACATCAGCGCCAACCAACAGTGCGGCAGGGGTCTCCAAGCGCGGACTGCTCCTCTCCCAACTTCTCCCACATCGCACTCTGGAAAGATTGCCGGCAATCTCTACATATTTCCACTGCCTCATCTATCCGCACACGGCAGGTCCAAATCAAGAAGACAGGGTGCGCCACGGAGATGCCATACGCAGCCTGGGCAGGCAAGGCAAGGTCGAGGCAGCGGATGGCTGCTGAAGGGTATCATCCCCTCTCCCGAGCCCCTACCGTCAGTCTAAGTTCAGACCCTAAGCCTGGGTCGTCGCCCATCGTCACGGTGTAACAACAACTACTGCGCTTTGTTCCTATCATTCTGCCCTCCAGGAGAGGAGAGGCAAGAGGAGGGGGAGGAGGAGGACGAGGAGGAGGAGCAGGAGGAGACAGGAGGAGGAGCAGGAGGAGACAGGAGGAACAGAAAGACAATTCCTGGACCCCACGCGGACACAGAGCGGAAACCCCGCCAAGATAGCGAACACAAGCGCCTCGGCGTTTTCTTGCGGCCTGCGCTCCGGCAAGAGCGGCATTCCCAATCAGGGACGCGGCCAGTGCCAAAGCGACACCACCAGCACAAGTCAAGCACGCGGTCGGCGCTCAAGCAAAGGGCACCATTTCGAATCAGAGACGTGGTCAGCGCCACTTCCAATCAGAGATGTGGCCAGCACTCAGGCGACTGCACCACAGGGCTGAACCCAAACGGTGTTTTTCGTTGTCGTTTTGTTTTCGTCTTCCCTCGTTTTGTCTTCAATCTGCCTTTACCGCAAAACGAAATCGAAACGAAAAAGGTCAACGAAATCGCCAAAACACCTGCTGCACCATTACCAGTCAAACGCGCGGCCAGCGTTTGATCAGCAATACCACGCCCAGACAGGCACGTGGCCAGCGCGCAGGCGACAGCACCACTCCCAATCGAGGATGCGGCTGGCGCTACGGCGGGAGCACCATTACCAGTCAGGACCGTGGCCAGCGCTCGGGCAACTGCACCGATCCTCGGCTGCGATGTGGCCAGCGCTCGAGCGACAGCACCGCTCCTGAGCGGGGACGTGGCCGGCACTCAAGCGCACCCACCATTCCGAGACAACACGGTGGCCGTGTAGGTCGCACCAGCTGTCCTCATCCACCTGCGCCTCCTCTGATCCTCCAACCTCCGCTGATGGTGTACATGTGCATGTTATATGGGTGCCAGAAAATTTTAAGAAACGCATGGATGCGAGGAGGTAGAACATGATGAAGATATGAACGCGCGCGCGACAAAAATTAGGGGACAGCTTCCTGTTGCATGGGCGCATTGCTTGGCAGTGCTTGGCGGTGTTGACGTTGCTTCGCATTGCTTGACATTGTTTGGCGCTGCCCGGCGTTGCGTAGCATTGCTTTGTATTGCTTGGCATTGCTTGTAATTGCTTGGCGATGCTTGGCGTTGTTTGGCGATGCTTGGCCTTGCTTGGCGTTGCCTGGTCCTGCTTGGCAACAAGACTAAGCAACTCCGATGATGGTCACTGGAAGGAAACAATGCCAAGCAACCCCGAGGAAAAACCAAGCAACACCGAGGAACGCCACTGGAATGAAACAGGACATAGCAAGACCTAGTAACCCCGAGGAATGCCACTGCAAGGAAGCAACATCGAGAAACCTGAGGAACGACCAAGCAACCCCGAGGAGCGCCACGTTAGAGAAGTAAGACCAAACAACCCCGAAGAACGCCACTATGAAGAAACGGAACGAACAACCCCGAGGAACGCTGGCCGGACAAACCTGGCACCCACCAGCTCATCACAGACAAACCAGAAACCCGTAGGCAAAACCTGACTCGGGAAATGGAGGCGTATATGCATGGAGGTACGGCTGCACGGGCAATTGCATGGATCTGTAGACGTACGTGTGTATGGAGGTTTCGGTGCACGGAGACGTGAAATTATGTCTGCGGGGTGGATGTGCGAGCCTAAACACTGAAGGGGCCAAAGGACACACTAATAAAAACACACACAAATCCCAGGATTCACCATATTTTGCGTATGTTCTGGGTTGTCGTCTTCCCCCCTACTTCCCATATTTGCCCATATGTTTGGGGAAACGACGATCAATTGTGTCTGTGTGTCCCTTCCCCTCCTGAACATGCATGGAGAAGACGGTGGCAACAGCAGGGGCCCGCGGAGGCCTCACGGAAGTGCACGAAACAGACTGCTGGGAGGGGGCTCCCGTTCTGGCCGTCTCGCATGCGGCGCACCGTGGTCACCCCCGTCGGGATCGGGATCCCCGTGGTGGCCCTCGACAGGGCTGAACCGAAGCGGTGTTTTTCGTTTTCGTTTTGTTTCCGGTTTCCCTCGCTTTTGTCTCGAATCCGCCTTTACCGCAGACCGAAATCGAAACGAAAACGGCCCACGAAATCACCCAAAACACAACAACACCGTTTAGGTCCAGCCCTGGGGTGGATGTGCGAGCTCAAACGTGCACGGAGAAGGCGGTGGTAACAGCAGGGGCCCGCGGAGGCCGACGGAGGTGCACGCAACGGACTGTTGGGAGGGGGGGCTCCCGCTCCACCCACGACCAGGACAGGAAGGGTGCGCGGTAAGGAGGCAAGGGCCTTGGAACGCCATGTTGACGTTCTCCGTGCGGAGCGCGGCAGAATGCCGAAGGATGCCGAATAACCGAAGGGGCAGGGATGCAAGGGTAGCCTTGGAAAGTGGCCCCGTCCTTACCGTCGTGGTTGACTGTACCCGTCTCGCATGCGGCGCACTGTGGTCACCCCCATCGGGATCGGGATCCCCGTGGTGGTCCTCGAACTGGCCCCTGCGAAGACTGAACTGCCTCTCGCGGAGCACGCAGTGGTGACCAGTGTGGTTGCTTCTGCGCGAGCTGGCCCTGACACGGCTCATCAAAGAATCAATGATGGTCCCTTCCTCCCTCCTCCTCAACCTCTTCCTCCTCACAACATCAGATGATCCTCCGGCAGGAAGAGCGGGCCTCCGCCGCCTCAACCGCGAGGCGGTAGTACACCTTGGCCGACTCGTCCAGATCCCGCAGCCCTCGGGCGAAGGGCTGCCAAGGGCGGGGGGGGGGGGGCAGGGACAAGGAGGAGGAAGGGCAGGAGGAGGAGACGAACCGAACTCCGAAGCTGACAACGACAACGACTTGAGGAGAACGAGCGGGAGGCGAAAGAGCAAGAGAGGAAGGAGGCCGAGCAGGAGGAGGAGGAACACCTACTTGCAGCTCGCCCCGTGCCCATGCCCTTGCGGGCGAATCGCCTCCCTCACTCGCTGTTTCCAAATCTGCCCGTACAGCTGCGACAATCGCGTGCTGCTCATGAGGTGTTTTACACGGAGGCGCGACGGCCACTGCACGCCTAAGCGGGGGCAGCTACAAGAGTAAGGGAAGAAGACATGAGGAAGGATAGGATGAAAGAATGAGGAATAGCGATACGCCTGTTATCACGTGTAATGGGTGCTTCACTGACGAAAACTATGATGGCGGTGATGATGATAATGAGAACGGCAATGATAAGGGGAATGATGCTGCCAACCCATATCAGGAAGATGATACTGCTGATGATGATGATGCCGATGCCGATGCCGATGCTGACGATGATGAATATACAGGTGATGGTGATGATGGTAGTGATGACGGTGCTAGTCGTGGTAATACTACTAACGATGATGATGATGCTGGTGGTGGTGATGTGATGTGATGATGATGATTGTGACGATGATGAAGATGATGATGCAGGTGATGCTGCTGATGATGATGACGATGGCGATAATGATGACGATGATGACGATGATGATGAAGATGAAGATGAAGATGAAGATGAAGATGAAGATGAAGATGATGATGATGATGATGATGATGATGGTGATGATGATGATGATGGTGATGATGATGATGAAGGGCCCCCTCCCGCCCGCAGCAACTCCTGAGTACATCGGCTGGCCGCCAACGTGCGCTCTGCCACAATTGCTGGCGAGCGCGCGTAAACGAGTGCGGGCCAACGGTGCCGCAAAAGATCTCGAAACTTGTTCCCTTGCTGCGGGGAAGTTGAAAGAAACATGGGTTATGTCAGCGACAAATTAAAAGTAGGGGCTGAGTGACAGACGTGGTAGCGGCGGGAGGTGCCAATCAAATGGCTTCGGTGAGAAATGTACTATCCCGTCAGGCAGGCAAAGAGGGTAGCAGGGCACGAATTATTCTCAGGATAGCCAGGCATCTTAAATAATGTCTCCTGGGGTCACCATGGGCTCCACGCCCAAGTCTGCAAAAAGTGGTTTTCATGTGATAACGAGCGGGCGTGCTCCAGTCTTTTACACAAGTGTTCGAAGTAGCCATCGCTGTGTGTGATATATCTTTATATATATATATATATATGTGCGCCGAACGTGAGAACAGCCCAACTAGATCGACATATGGGTGCATCTACCGCTACAGGCTAAGCTCGAATTTCCGATACTTAGAGCGAGGAGCGAAAGAGTCCAAACCCCAGTAGGGCTTGCGCGCGGACTGCCATGATAACGTGTCATTCCAGTCGTTTAGAATGACCCCAAAGATACTAGACGGAGTTCCAACATGCTCGCGCAAGAGAAACAAATGTCAATGTCGGAACACAACTGCTGATCCCTCTGCGCAAAACAGAATCGTCTTCATTCCAGGGTTCCTAAAACTCTTAGACAAGTACACCGTTGACATCAAAGCGCGCCGGTACATACATAGATGCGCGAACCTCACTCTCAAGATCACGAAGAGGAGGGAGGACGAATCATGAGGCTGTCGAACTTGAGAAAGGTGAAACCAGGTGAAATGGGGCATCGAAAGGCGAATGCTATTGCTAAGCAGGCAGCCAGCCTCGGGATATGCACCTCGGACTTCTCGGCGCGCGGGTAACGATTGGCCAACATGGGGTAACGCAGAAGTGCCAGCTGAGTTGAATCATGACGCAGAGCAGATGAGAAAGAGGGCAGCAACTTTTACTTCACGTGCACGCGCTTACGGGCGCCCCATAAACGCAGAGCGGCCCCGCGGCCACTGATTAGCCAAGATGCTTAGCGTGATCTTGGATCTCGGCAGCGTTGGCGTCTAGCCCCGCGTCTGAGAACTTCTGCAAAATAATCTCCCTGGCGCATCTTACTGTGACGCTGGCGGTCTTACCGAATGATCGTCCGGCCCGACGCGCGAAATATACTTTCGAAAAGCCGGGCGATGTCAGGCACCAAGTCTACCATGTTGCTACAGGCGAGATCTCTATCATCAGCAAATGCACCAGCTTCCCCGAATTCCCCGTGACGACGACTGGCGAGCGCTCGAAAGGAGGGGTCCAGAGCTGAGTCGAAAGTCGATCCACAAATCAGTCACCCTTGACGAACTCCCCGCTTCACAGCGAAGCCATCATACATGGAGCCATGTTGGAGGGGGCCCCATGCGTTCCAGGACAAGCCAGATCCAGCAGTGGCCTCGGGGCGGGGAGCCACCTGTCAAATCGGCAGACGCACATCCAAGCTCTGAGCTCGCGTGGAGCACATCGGGATTCCTTCAGCCTCGAGACCCTTGGGCCGCCAAGCGCAGAGAGCAATGTTAGTCCCCCTGCGCCCCGCGGCCGTTGATTATGGCCAAATACAGGCCGTGCGACGCTTGCTGCCCAGCGTCACCACAGGGGCGCCGCGCCGAAAAAGGAGACCCAACGCCCCCTGGACTGAGTCCTTCAGCTGGTTGACATAACTCTGGACGAAGCACGCGGCACATCCCATTCGACGAAGACTGGGAGAGCGCGAAACTGCTGCAGCAGCCACTGCTGGCCACCTGGGCAATAGGCTGATGGCCGCGAGCGGCGCCCCAATGCTGCGCGAGAACGGCGGCGGCAGCGCGAGGCCCGCGCCCGGCTGCGCGACCTGGAAGGGCGACGCGCGTGGGGGGAATCATCCAGGGACCGGCGGCCCGTTGGGCCACGTGCCCCGCGTTCCCTCCTTTTCGGGCGATGGCCCGACCATCGTTTTCGCGCTCTTCAAACTGCTTTTCCGCCAGTGCTCGAGAACGCGCAGCAGGGAAGTCGTGGATTGCTGGCTCGTCGATCCCCCTCAACGGCGCAGCACCAAGTCAGTTGCCTAGTCCAGGGAGAACATGACTTGCACGGCGACTGGACCTGAGGTCCTGCTGCTGCACGGCCCGATGAACCGCGAGCGCCCGCGCGACGGCGCCCCCCGCCCGCGACTCACGGGGTTTGAGGGCACATCGCTGCTGCGAGGACCTACTCGCCTCGAGTGCAAGGTCTTGAGCCGTGAAAGATGATTATATCTAGACTTTTTCAAACTAAGCCCAAGGGGCCAAATACGCAAAACAAAAAAAACGTTTGGAAACATACTGTGCCCAACGTGCTCCAGAAACGCCTTTCCGGAACGCGTTGGAATCGACCTTTGCCTTGTGCAAGGCTTCTACTTGCAGTGCTCTCACGAAAACAGAAAAGGCGGGCATTTGTCCGACGCCCCTCTACGGCGGTGCAGAACGCCGCGCTGGCCTTCAGTAAGGTATCGCAGCTGGGCTGCTTTGTTTTTTAGGCGTTGTCCCCCCCCCGCCGCCCAGCCGACCCTTTCGCGTCTTCAAAATGGGCGCGATCTCCGAAAGGTAATTCTCCATCATTTCCTCGGGCTCGGGTTCCCAAGTCACGTTGAGGCTGGTATTGTTGCCCCCGAACTCCTGCCCGCAATTGCCCGCCATGGTGAAGCCGAGCATCCTCGGGGGCCTCGCGACCTCGGCCTTTGGCAAGTACGTAATGAACAGGTCTGCAGGGTTTACCTCGCCGATAATCTTCTCGATGGTTGCCCCACCAGTCCGCAGGATCTGCTGGATCCACAACTAGGCCGTCTCCAGATGCCCCATCTTCTTTCCACTGCCGGGCCTGCTGCTACGACCCGAGCTGTCAGTGCACGGCCTGAAATTGAACTCCCCACCCTGCCCCTCCATCCGTTTCTGGCAACGCAATGGCTCGATCATGCCCGTGAACGCGGCCTTGGTCTAAGCTTCTCCTGGGCTTGGGCAGATGGTGGCCCGCGACGCGCGCCCGCGCTTCATCTCCCAACCTTCGAAGGACAATGCGCCTCCCGATGTGCTCTTTCTAGAATCTGAACTCCCCGCTCCAGTCGCTGTCCACGCGCGCGTCGAAGTGCTCGGCCAGTCCACCGCGCCGCGGGGAGTCCTGGGTCGCCAGCGGCACGCCTTTGACATGCCTGGCAATCCCCTCCCGTTTCGCCTCGTCTGACTTCGCTGGCGCCTGCAGTGCCTCGGCACCTCCTCTGTCGCAAAACCGATGTCGCTTCTCCTGTCAGTCACGTGCTGCGTGATGCCTGCTCCCCCTCGATAGTGGCTGTGTTCCTTCGGGCTGAATTTCGCGGCATCTGTCTTGCCGTCCTTGTCGCCCAGCGTCGCGATGAGGCCACCGTGCCCCCTGCGCTCATGCGCCCCGAAATCGCTCGCGCACTTCGGATGCGACCCCTCGCGCCGGCCGCCCCCGTCAACGTAGATGCGCCCACCGAGGAAACAGGCCCCTTTCTCGTCGCCCCCGTGCATCGAGAGGGCCGCGATTTTTTTTCCACGCGGAGGCCTGCTCGAACATCTCCACGAGCTCGAGGGCGCGGCGCGTGGGCGGGCCCATCCACGCAGAAAGCGCCGCCATCCTGCTCGATGTCGATGTCCTCGCTGCCGGGCCTGAAGAACGCCGGGCTGTAGCTGTTCCTCTGACCTCCACACTCGTCAACTTTGTCAGCTGACCACTCCGCCCAGGAAGGGCTCGCCTGTATGGTGCCGTTCGCTGCCTTCATCAGTTTCCAGTAACTTTGTCAGCTGACCACTCCGCCCAGGATGGACTCGCCATTCTGGTGTCGTTCGCTGCCTTCCTCAGCTTCCAGTAAGTAGTCACACTGGAAACGCCGAGGGAGATCCTCATCCTTGCCAGCTCGTCGATCGACGCGCGCGTGGAAGCGGCGCTAACGTCGATCGCCACCGCGGCGTAATCTCCGTTTGTTGAAGCAGTCTCGAGCTGGGGTCGGCAAAAGAAAGGAACCTGGGGTGGCTCAGAAAACGCCCGGCCGATACTTCTTCGTGCGCTGTTGAGCAATAAGACGCGAACGAAACTCGTCGCCTCGCCATTCCTCGACCCATGCCATGTCGCACAAGGGATCGCCGTCCTCGATCGCCATATCCTCTATCGCTTCGAACTTGACAAACAGGTTGAGCTTCTGCCGCCCCCCTCTCTCCTGGGCCTCGCGGGGGAACTTCTGGCCGAACCGCGTCTGTCTGTCAATCGAGAGCTCTACCTTCGGCCCCCCCGCGAGGGATATAGCAGCGATTGGCATGCTGCCGGAGTCCATGGACAATGGCGCCAGCGCCCCCAGCACTGGCGCCCCCAGCGCGGGAGTTCCAGGGGCCCCATCCGCGGCCGATGGGCCTCGGGGCAAGGAGACCAGAATCGACGACCATGCAAGGCGCAGCTGGCCCCGCGCATCAGGCCCCCGCCCATCCTATTGCGAAGGGCACGTCCGTCGATCTTCCGGCGCTCGCTTCTTTCAGCTCGAGCGCTTCCCCTGATGCAATGATGCAGCCATGGCCCTCTCGACCCCCCGGCGCACGGAACTGCGAGTTGCGCCGCAGCCCTCGCACTTTGGGCGCCCAGTCGTGGCCCCGTGCGTCTCGATCAGCTTGTCTGCGATGTAGAGGCACCTGACTTTCGCCCCTGCCGTGAATGCACCCCCTCGGACCACCTCTGGGACGCCTGCACCCGTTGTTCCAGTGGGTTCCTGGCCGATACCTCGGAACACCTCTGGGACACCTCGGGGTTCCACGGCAACTCTCGGACGCTTGAGAGCAGGGCCAGATCGCGCTGGTCGCGCTTCTCGAGCCTCGTGACCCCCTTCGGGGCTTCGCGACGCCCTCAGGGGGTGAGTAGGGCGGCCTCGTCTGTCTGGCCAATCCTGCCCACGCAGACCCCTTTCTTCCATCTCTCCACGAACTTGTCGCCCACAGCACCTGGTGGAGAACGCGCTTGCCGAGGGACTTGGCCTGGCCAAGGTAGCTGCAGCCCCCCGCGATGAAAATGGCAGTCTTCCTGCGCGCATGGCCCGGGCCGCTGCTCTACAAATCCAAGGCGTGATGATGCACCCCGGCGCGAGCTTGATGCCATGTTTCTTCCCGATGGGGCGAGCCTAAATGTCCGCATCTGGTCCTGCGCGCACAAGTGGGCTTGCCCCCCCCGTCGTGGACTTCCCATGCTTCCCACCGGTGAAGCACTGGGCGCAAGTGCGGCGGGCTTGCGCCTCTCGACGATTCCATTCATGACGTCGAAGGGTCTAGCCACCCTGTCACACTTCAGGTCGGCTCCCAGGAAAGCCGGAGAGGCGACGTACTCCAAGAGCGCCTGCGTGACACACTCTCCTTCTTCCAGATGACCGCACTGACCGCGGAACCGTGCTCACAGTCATCAGCGCGTAGAAAAGGTAGCTTATGCTCTGGGTCCGAAACCACGCCGCTGGCGCTTGCGTCATCAAGCTCGATCACGGGTACTGCATGCGGGTTCTCTTCTGTCATCGAGGGGTGGCCAGGATCGGGCGCCCTGCCCGCGGCGCGCGCGTCGCGCCACGGTCTCTTGTGGGCCTCTCGCTCCTGTGTAGACCTTCCCGGGGTATTCGCCGCCTTCTCGGGGGCCTCGCTGGAGAGCTCCATGCTGAACGTCTGGGCGGTGTCTTCGTTGTCCTGCGTGGCCATTCTTTCTCGCCGCTTGACCCAGGCCCCCCCGAGGCCCTCCGCCCCGAATGCAGGCGCGACCTCGCCCGAGAGTTCGCCGTCGGGCTTCTCGCTCTTGAGGTCGCCCTCGAATGCGGAAGCCCCTATCTCTTCGACGATGTTGAATTTCTGGGCCTCTGCCAAATGTGCTCGAGCGATTGTCGCTGGGGCCACCGATGATCTGGCGCGGCCCGAGGCCGAGCGCCGCGAGCTGACCGCGGCCTTCCCGCCCCCTGACTGAAATGGTCTGCCTGGCGCAGCTGGCCACCTGATAGCCCGCTGCGACATGGTCGCCAGCACTGTTCTGGCACGCCGCATTCTCCATGATCCCGACCTGTTCCCGCTTATCACTGGGCCCCCATCCGTCGAAATGTTCGGGCGCCGCGCGGGGCGGCGCGACGCAGTGGCGCCGCTGTCCACCATCGGCCTCGCAGTGGCCGCGCGCCCAGCGCGCTCTGGCGGCGCATTTCTGGGGCCCGCCAGGGCCGCTGTTCCAAGTCGAACTCGTCGTAAATCGCGAAGATCAAGCTCTCGATCCCGTCGGCGCCCCCCTCGCCCATGCGACATTTTTCTCGCGGGATTTCTTCCTCTGCGATAGACGCGTTCAAGGAAACTCATGGTGATCTGTGGCTGGCCCATCGAGGAATCAACGCAGTGCCGGGGAGTGGAACCAGGGGGGCGCTGCCCCAGGGCCCGCCCGAGGCCCCAGGGTAGCCCAAGGCAGGGCCCGCCCAAGGCCCTAGGGTAGCCCAGGGCAGGGCGCGCCCAAGGCCCAAGGGTAGCCCTGGGTGGGGCCTGCCAAAGGCCCCAAGTTGGCCTTGGGTAGGGCCTACCCCAGACCGCGCGATAGCTTCGGGCAGGGCCGGCCCCGCGCCGCGCGGACAGGTCCGGCGCGCACGCAGGGTAGGCCGCAGGGAAGGGCCCAGGAGCAAGCCGAGGGTAGGCCCAGGGTGGGCCTATGGGGCATGGCCTAGGGGTAGGCCTAGGTGAGGCTTAGGGGAAGGGCCTAGGAGTAGGGCCCAGGGAAGGCCGCGGGGAAGAAGGGCCCAGGGGGGGGCTAGGAAAGGCCTAGGGGAAGGGCCTATGGGTAGGCCTATGGAAGGCGTAGGGGGAGGGCCTAGGGGCTGGCCTGGGGAAGGCCTTCCCTCTGGGCTCTAGAAAAATACCAGGCCCTGCTGGATCGAACCTTCGCCGCGCGCCCTGTAGACCGCCACCTCGTTGACAATCAAGCGCCCAGGGTCCGCGAAGAACGAGGCGGCCGCTTCCTCGTCGCGCCACTTCGGACACTCGAACTAAGTTTGCCACGCGCCCGCCGTGCCAGTGCCTCCATCGGCTCGCGCAGTTGGCACTCGACGCCTGCATCATCCTCTTCATCGGCAGGTGCTGCGGGAGCGTCGATGTCCTCCATGGCCGCGCAGGTGCAGCGTTAATGCATCCAGCGAGCCGCCTGCGCGCTTCCAACAACAGAACCCTCAAACATGACCTTGCACCCGAACCTTCTCGCCTCGGATCTCTGACGGTCCATGCCGAATTTCTTGTGGAGCTTGCCCTCGTCGCTCTTTTCACCACCTTTCGCTTGGGCGCCCTTGGCGTTGGGTCGCCTCTTCCTGTCGTTGTTTGTAGCATGCGACGGATCTCCTCGCGGACCTTGAAACTCCTGCAAATCCTCCATCTCGCTGTGCTCCGGCGGCGTAGCCTCAGTTCGACCCCCTCGCCCGGCGTCGCAGCACTCCTCGATCGCGTTGCGGATGTCCCTGTACGTCTTCAGCCCACTGGTTCATCAGCCCGTGAGCATGCAGCCCCGTCGGAACAATGCTGTCCTGGTAGATCGTCTCCCTCAATGCCTCCGAATTCGTCTTGCCGAACCAGCTCTCGAAGCGAAACACACCGCGGTCCCAGCGCGGGTCGATGCTCGCCAACGTAGGTTTCACCAGAGCTGTCATTGCCGATGTCGAACTTCTCGCCAGCTTGGACATGCCGAGCCTCCATGCCCCCAAGTCGTTCCCATCCGCAACGCTCTGGACTCTCGCCTCTGCGTCGTCCTTCTCGAACGCGAAAGATACCAGCACCCTTGCCCAGGCGGGGTGGCAAGGGGCGGAGGAAGCGACGCGACCCGCGCCGGGGTCGTCGGGCGAGTTGCAGACCCTTGCCGGACGAAAGCCACAGCAACAAGGTAATAATCACTCGATGGGGACTTTCGTGTCGGATGCCGACCATGTAACCCCGCTCTCACACGCATATCCATGGCATTCGTCGCCCGCGTATTTGTGTATTCCTATAACTGTACGGTCTATACGACCCCCCGATGCAATCTGAAAGTCTTCAAACAGGCGCGCGGGGGGCTAGACTGATGGATTTTCGATAGTGGTCGGAATCTCCGAGCGAAGAACTTGCCCCGCATGCTGGGTGGATAGCGCCCGCGATCAGCAGCGAGACGGGGAACTCCCCCATCGCCGACTTCGTAATCTTGGAAGTCTCGCGAGAAAAGCGCCACGCAAACCACACGAGCTCGGGGACAGAGAGACGAGTTCATGCCCGAAAGAAAAGCTGCCCAAGTGCGACCAACAGCGGCAATGTCGTGGTGCGGCGCGCTGAACAAATCAAATAACGCCTTTAGAAATAGGACCACCAGCCCACGGGTAGAAGAGGAGAAATGATAGTCAGGGTGTATCTAGCATAATGGCTCTCCCGCATGGTAATACCTTCATCACCAATTTGTCCATGAGTCTCTTGGTTACATTATCCATAACATCCAACCCTGTAATCCAGCCCTGTAAACGTCTGGATCCCTGGAGACGCCCACACACCGCGTGTACATTCCGTGTGCAAACATAGTTGCTGTAACACTGTCGCTTGGCATTGGCGCTAACAGCGTACGACGAGTGGCGATCATGGTGGCGATGAGGACGATGACGAATGAGGACGGCAATCCCGCTGATGATGGAGATAAAGACTCTTGATGATGACGACGACGAGGAGGAAGATGATGAGGAAGAGGAGGGGGGGCAAAGACGCCAGCCCGCGAGCGGGAGGAGCACCCCAGCGGGCAGAGCGCCGTCGACGCGGCAGCAGGAGCGGGGCGAAGCGGGACCGACAAGGGCGGGAGGAACAGCAGGGACACGGCGGGGCTCGCACGTCTGAGCCGGAGCACCGCGCGAGCAGCGCTGCAAGGCCCCTGCCAGGCCCCCCGCGGCGGGGCCACGCGAGGGACCACGTCCGAGGCCCGCCGCGGGGGGATCGTGCCGGCCGCTGGGCGGGCGTGAGGCCACGGGGGGCCACCCGCCCGGACCACGTCCTCAGGGGCCCGCGGCGACGGGCTCGCGCCGCCCGCGGCCCGCCGCGGCCCGCCGCGGTGGCCGTCGCGGCCCGCGGCGGCCGCCAGAGGGGCGCGGGCGCCCGAGGCGCGAGCGCCGCCGGGCGCCGCGGGGCGCCAGGGCGCCGCTGCGGCCTGCGGGCGCGCCTCGGCCGCGCCGCCGTCGCGCCGCCGCGCCGTCCGCAGCGCGGGGGGCGGGATCGCAGGTGCGGGCGCCTCGAGGAGGCGGCGCCCGGCCGGAGGAGAGGCGGCGGTGCGCGGGGGGGGGCAGGGGGGGGCAGCAGGGGATGGGAGGAGAGGAGGCCGTGGCGGCGCGGAGGGGTGGGGGGGGGAGGACGGAGCAGGGAGGAGGGCGACAAAGGTGGCGGGGGGCGGGGCGGGGGGATGTGGGGGGAGGAAGGCAAGAAAGAAGGCGCCGAGGGGGAGGAGAGGAGCGGAGCAGGGAGTCAGGGAAGCCTGGAGGCTCAAGCCTCAAGCATCTTCGGAATGCCTTCCGACATTGTGGGTTATTTGCGTGCAGGCCCCCCAAACTGAAGAATCCTGGAGCGACCATGCACCGAACTCTTTCGCCGAGTTCCTTGGCTCTGTTCTGTGACCGACCAAACGACACGGTGTATACATCGAGACCCATCCGATACCCGCCCATCCTTCTCCCCCCTTCTGACAATCGGAACAGGCACGACATCAAAAGTCCACGACTCCGGAACGACTTCGATTCACCTGGTCAATTCGATGTCAATGCTCTTCCCTCCCCCGCGGAACGCGCTCATGCATTTCAATCACATTATCGTGCCATCATTATCATTATCAACACTATCATCATCAGCATCCCCATCACAATCATCATCATCAACATCATCATCAACATCAACATCAACATCATCATCATCATCATCATCATCATCATCATCATCATCATCATCATCATCATCATCGTCGTCGTCATCGTCGTCATCATCATCATCGTAATTATCATCATCATCGGTACTATCGTCATTCTTCTCGCCTCCTGTTCCCCATCCGCCTCCGCGGGAATTGAATTCATCGCAGCCTGGGTTTACCCGCCAGCAAGTTTGGACGCATCGGCCACGGCCGCTGTCGCTGTCACCATCTCCCTCGTCGGTAGCTTGACGAGGGGATCGCGGCGGCGGCGGTGGCAGCGCTGAGGCGTGCCCAGAGTTCAGCAAAACATCAACATGCAAACCTGACTTGTCAGGCTGCTGCTCCGGAGGGGGAATGTGAACAGGGGGGCTGCAGCACCGCTGAACGGCATGCTGGTAACCGAGCCAGCATGGTGGGCCCCGTCCTTTTCTGCAAACTTCGACTTTTGTTTTGAGCTCAGCTGTGATGCACTTCGAACCGCCATCGGGCCAAGTCGCTCGCGTCGGTTTCCGCCCGCACGGGTGCCTCCGTCCCTCCCTCCTCCAGTCCTCCCTGCATCCTCCTCCCTTCTTCCCTCTACCCTTGCCTCCGCAAGCATTCCTCTTCCCTCCTCCCATTCCCTCCACCCTCCAGCTGTTACCTCCTGCGCCCATTTTCCTGGGTTGCCTCCCCGCGGCCTCTGATATCGAGAACGATGCGACACACTAGAATGCAAAGGCTCTTCAACGCCACTTTTGAACCATGAATGTTGTAGGACATGCTCATGCACGGAAAGATCTGCACCATTTCGCGCATCAACACTTAACTTTTCACACTGCATGGGTGATCTCATCCACCTGTCCGCCTCCGTGTCCCATGGCACGTTAGGGCGTGCTAGAATACCAAGTGCTGTCTCGTAGGGTTTGCATGATCTTCCAAGTGCCCCCCCCCTCAAGTTGCACTTCGCTGCGTGCACCGAGGCCGCAATCCCTAGGCGTTCCTGAGGCCGCAACCCTTAGTAAACTACGACAGATGCGCGCTCCCGAGGCCCAGATGCCTTCAAGACGGCCCAATATGGCACAAGACGGCCTACTTTGGCACGAAGATGGACTAAGAGGGCCTGCCGTGGGGCCCAAGACGGCCTTCTAAGGCCCTTCGGCGGTCCAAGACCGCGACAAGACGGCCTCACGACGGTCCCGAAGCACCCACCATACGGCCAAGAAGTCCCCAAGACGGCCCAAAAGAACCCTAGGACGGCCTTAGATGGCCCGAAAACGGCCCAGGAGAGCCCTCAGGGGTCTCCAAGACTGGCTCACAGGAGGCACAGACAGCCAGAAGACCGGCCAAACGAGTTCCATGAGGACTCCTCAACTAGTGCAGAGGACAGGTGTCACATGTGACGGCCTTCTGCTTCCTCTTCCTCCTGCTCCTCCTCCTCCTCGTCCTCCTCCTCATCCTCATCTTCATCGTCCTCCTCCTCCTCCTCATAATCATCATCATCCTCCTCCTCTTCCTCCTCCTCCTCCTCCTCCTCCTCCTCCTCCTCCCCTCCTTCACATCATCATCATCATCATCATCATCATCATCATCATCATCATCATCAGCATCATCATCATCATCATCATCATCATCATCATCATCATGATCATGATCATCATCATCATCATCATCATCATCATCGTCATCTTCATCATCATCATCATCAGCATTATCATCATCCTCGTCATCGTCATCGTCATCATCATCATCATCATCATCATCATCATCATCATCATCCACATCCACATCATCATCATGGTCATCATCATCAGCAGCATCAGTATCAGCACCAGCATCATCATCGTCCTCATCCTCATCCTCGTTCTCATTCTCATCCTCAGCGTCCGTCTCAACACAATCATTACCACAATAATCATCATCCTCATCATCATGACCGTGTTCGTCATCCTGCTCCATCTCCGCGTCCTCATCCTCATCCTCACTCATCTTATGCTCGTCGTCCTCCAATTCCTCCTCCTTATCATCATCATCATCATCATCATCATCATCATCATCATCATCATCATCATCATCATCATCATCATCGTCATCAGCATCATCATCATCATCATCATCATCAGCATCATCATCATCAGCAGCATCATCATCATCATCATCAGGGTTCCTACAAGCACGGGGACACGAAATGTCACACGAGACGGCCTTCCGTGCCCCCTCGCAAAAAACATAAAATGCTGCGCTGGCACGGTGGTGGGCCTTGCCACAAGCAGCTGGATAACAACATCAACCAAACATGCAAAAAACATCCACCGGAAAATCCGAGTCAACTCGTATTCAACAACATCCACCCGAAAACCATAGGAATAATCATGATTATGCGCGTTGCCTTGTTTGCCGTTATTTTTATCACGCGTCCATGTTCCACAATGTTTCATGCAATGAATGTTCCTGTCCTCCTCGGTCTCGTCCCCATCGTCCCCTTCAGCAACCTATCGATCTCCTCGGTTCATGCTCATGATCCCCCACATATTCACTCGTCTTCATCATTCCTGCTTCTCCTCAATTCTGGCGTTTTCCCCCATGATCTTGATTATCCTCTGCTCTCCTTCCGTTCCTCCTGGGCGATACATGGGAAATATGACGAGGATCGCGACGATGACGATGGAACTGAAGCAGCCAGGCATGAGGTACGGAGGAAGAGGGACGATGGTGAGGCAGAGGCGAGGAGGGTGGTGTGGACGCATCACATATGAGCTGATCCCTGAGAGACGCGATAGGGCACGAAATGGGGCATACAATGCTTTAGGCGCCGCAGGATTTTTTAGTGTGATTTGTATCTGCACCACGGCGGGATGAACGCCCTTGGCAACACGCGACGGCGCCGCATTGGAAAACGATCCAGCTCGCCGGCGGCAGCCGACAAAACAAGGGTCGCCAGGAGAACTACGCAAGGGCACGAAATTGCCAGCGCGAAATTGCCCACGCGAAGGTGCCCGCGCGAAATCGCGCGCACGAAATGGCCCCAAAATTGCCGCCGCCCAGAATGGCCGCACGACAAAGCACCCTAATCGATTCGCTGGACCGGTTTGCGAGCGCCCAGTCCCGGCTGCAAGCGTTCCTGAAACCAGAAACTGCTTGAGACATTCGTGCAACACCAATGGTGCGAGCAATTTCGAGCAGCGTTGGGCATCGCATGTCATGGAATTCGTGCAACAACTCCTGCCTCGTGTCATGTCCGTGCGGGATTCATTCCGTGTTCGTGCGAAATTAATTTCGTGCTCGTGCGGGAACAAACTCACATTCGTGCGAAAAAAATGTCGCGTTCGCCCACGCCTGTGGCGTTCGCGCAAGAATGGCACGACGGCCAACTACACAGGGACCAATAGAAAGCAACGCACGGCAAGCGGCCCCCTCAGCATTCGCCAACGCCACCCGCGCAGACAAAGTGACCCTGTTTTCGTTTGGGAAAGATTTCGTGAACGCCCTCTTTTCGTTACAAAGGTTGGACACATATAAGACGAGAAGGGGATCCAAGACGAGGAAGGGATAAAATCATGACGGTGACGGAAAACACGAAGAGAGATGCGTGCAGGGCAGGGGGAGGAGAGGATCAGGACGAAGGAAGATTGTCAAGGTAAGAGCCAAACTTCTACTGTAGGCGGTGGGCACAACTGCTCCACACACGCCAACTTTCAGCCACAATACTGATTTTGGTGTCGGTCACAACATCTGCCAGGACTTTTGACATCCACCAGAAGCCTTCACAAAACCACCGGTATTCTGGTTTAGCAGTGAGTGCGTTTTTTCATGGTGTAAGCTCATCCAGGGGTAAAGGCCGACGTCGCCTCCGATTAATTCAACATCCACTGGTAAACAGGGAAACACAAACGCAATGCTAAAATGTAGCAGTGACCAGCCCCCTGGAGCTGCCGTGTCAATGTCGCTGCACAGCCAGCCTGTCTACTACTGGGCTATGGGCCAGCCTATGTGAGTACCTGAACATCGTTCTACGATGTGGAACGCCCATCGTGCTACCATGAGGAACGACGGGGGCTGCCAAATGAGACGGGAGCGCAAAATGAAGATCTAATTCTTGCTGTTGTTTTTCGTATGGCCCCGACTGGCTCCACGCCCTGGATCGGAGGAACGGCCGGAACACCAGAACCTCTCCCGAACCCACACTGGACATCATGTCAGCGTCTTGCCTGTAAGAGTGTGGATCGCATGGCGGGCAACACGCATACGCACCACTATGCTTGGTGGACACATACGCGCCAACCTGCAGCGGCATTCGGGCTGTTGTAGTCTCCGCACGTGTAGTTGATGCCCTGCGGCTGGGGCTGCCGGCTCGTTCCGCTTGGCGACGCACTGACGCACTATTACCGTGTGAACACATGAAGCGCGGCCATAGGGGGAGACAGGGTAAGAGAAAGAGAGATATAGAGAGAGAGAGAGAGAAACATAAAGAGAGAGGGAGAGAGAACGGAAGAGGCACACCGAGAAAGACAGAGAGAGAGAGAGTCAGAGAGACAGGGATGTGAACAACGGCATACAACACATAGTATAGATGTGCTTATGTATCTACGTTCGAATATGCACACCTACAACATGCGTGAGAGAGGAACAAAAGGAGACAGAGAGAGAGAGACAGAGAAAGACATAGAGAGAGAAACACAATGAGAGGCACCTGTAAAGAGGGGGGGAAGGGAGAGGAGAGAAAGAGAGAGAGAGAGAGAGCGAGGGGGAGGCAGAGAGAGAGGAAAGAAAGAGAGAAAGAGAGAGAGAGAGAGAGAAAGAGAGACATCGAGAGAGAGAGAGAGAGAGATGGAAAGAGACAAAGAGAGAGAGAGAGAGAGACAAGGAGAGAGAAAGAGAGAGAGAGAGAGAGAAAAAGGCAAGGATACATATACATATGTATATACAGACAGAGAGAGGGAGAGAGAGAGCGCGAGAGAGAGAGAGAGACTGGGCTCGAGACTAAGGCCCGTCAGCGTGCCACCCGATGTCGCGCCCCGCGCCGCGCGAGGCGCGGCCGTGCTCGCGCTCTCGCCGCCGAGCCACCAGAGAAGGCACGGCTCTCCAGCCTGGGCTGCGACGCGCGAGACCCCTGGACATCCGCACGGACGTCGGCCAACCGCCGCCTGCCGCGAAGAGGGCAGACCTGAGCCAGCTGCTCTGGCCTGGGCCATCTGCACCGACCTGGACCAATCGGCCACCTGCACTCACCTGAGCGCTCGCCGCCGAGCCACCAGAGAGCGGCCCCTCAGCCCAGGCTGCGACGCACGACGCCCCAGCCATCCAGCCCCAACCATCCAGCCCCATGGCTCAGGTCAGTGCGCATGGCCAAGGCCATCCGCACTGACCTGGGCCAACCAGCCCCTGGGAACACGAAGCTCAAGGTTCTGCCCGAGGTGCTTCTTCGGCGCTCCGCCTGGTCGCGACGCAGCGCCTCAGGCCATGGTGGGCTCGTTTTCCACCTTCACCACCATAAGTAGGAGGGGGGGGGAGGTCCTCCTCCCCCTGTTCCTCCTCCTTCTCCTCCTCCTCCTCCTCCTCCTCCTCCTCCTCCTCCTCCTCCTTCCCCCCTCCAACTTATGGTGGTGGATAAGTGGCCCATTAGGCCATGGTCATGGCCAACGTCTGCACCACCACTGCAGCCGTCACCGTCGCAGCCGCTGGGGGAACAGTTACGCTCACGTGGTGGGCCCAACGCAGTGTATTGCCCGTGGCACGCCCTGAGGTCACGGTTCGGATACTTCACCATCACTTGGCGGCGCGCACAAGGGGTTGGAGGGAGGGGGGAGGGCTTCTTAGAAGGAGGCTGCTTCTTAGAAGGCGCCGGCCTTACAGCTATAGGCAAGACCCGCGCCTTCAAAGAAGCAGGGGTGCTTCTGAGAAGCCCTCCTCCCTCCCCCCACCCCCCTCTGCGCGTGGCTGAATCACCCTGAAACGTGTGAGACTTGAGAACTTTTGAAAACAAAGCAAGCAATACTTGTACCGTTTACAACATCAGAAGCAGCATCATGACGAAAAGCAGCAATGACAGATCCCGCCCAGCCCTTCAAGGCGCAGATGGCTCAGGGCGCTTCCTCTTACCCACCTCGTCCCCTTCGGGGATGGGGTTTACCACTGCTCCTTGTACACCCCCTCCCCCGCCCGACGGGCGACAAACGCGGGCCCATGACGCCCCGAGGAGGAGGAGGAGGAGGAGGAGGTGGAGGAGGAGGAGGAGGACACCGAAAACTCACGCGACGTGCACATTGCGGCAAAATCTCGACAGTGCGCGAGGGCGCCCCGTGAGCACTCAGCAGCAGACTTTGACGAGGACGGCAGGGGTGACCTCCGATTTCTGCTCCGTGCAGGTCCACCATCCCTGCCAAAACAACGTGCAATAAACTGTGAGCCTTTATCGGAACCTTGCGCAGGCGCCCCGTGATCACCCTGCACTCTTTTCTTACAAAAAGAGCGGCAAGGGTGCCCTAACAGTGACCGCTCTGTGCAAGCTCACGGTCCCCGTCAAAACACCGTGCAAAATAGAATTCTTCTGGACTCTGTCTGGGCACGGGGTTTCAAAGAATATAGATTTGTCAATTTGTGCTGGCTTCGGGCTCCACCCTTATGACTGAATGCTCGCCACTGCGCTTCGCAAGGGGCCCTTTACTCATAAAATCATTGGGATCGGGGTCCCAGGCTCGGATGATGCCAATGTGTTGTGAGGGCGGGCGGGAGTGAGGAACACGGCTCGCGGCTTGGGGTAATTTGATCACGGCTCCCTATTGATAAACACACACCCTCCCCCAGGCAACCGGCAACCGAGCAGGACCCATGCCGACACCACCCGCACCATGCCTGTCAAAGAACAATACACAGAATAAACTGTGCCTCCAAATCTGGAGTATGCGCGGGTACCCTGCGACCACTTCGCCTTGGTCTTTGACAGGGGCGGCAGGGGGGCCCTCATACTGCCTGCTGTGCGCAAGACAGCCACCCCTCTCAAAAGACAACGCACACTACGCTTTGCCTCCTAAAATGGAGCATGCGCGGGCGCCCCCGCGACCATCTTGTGCTGGCGTTTGACAGGGACGGCGGGTGTACCCTCATACTCTAAGCCGCTCCAGGCGAATCGATACGATGCCCCAGCGCCTCACCTTGATTCGGGCCACACGAACACATATGGCTGCTGACTCAGATTCTCCCCTCCCCCTCCTCCACCTGATCCTCCTCGGAACCATCCTCCTCTGGGTGTTAATGCCAATCGTGCTTTCGCCGTGCTGCCCCTGCGTCTGCTGCTCGTCTGCGTGGAGATCCTCCGCAGTAGGCAGACCAGGCAAAGCCAAACCACTTGGACCAACGAAATCATCAGACTAGTTAGACCGACCCACCAACCACGACCAACTAACCAACCAGACCAGACCTATCAGACCAGACCAGGCGAAACAGGTTACCAGACCCGACCAGGCCAAAGCCAACCAAACGAACCGAACGAAACGAGCCAGCCAGACCAGAAGAAACACCTGGCCGACACAACCGTTTAGAGAAAAACAAGCCAGACCAACAGGATTCAATAGACCAGCCAGGCCCAGTGGAGCAAGAACTCGAGACCAAGTAGACCAACCAAGCAGACCAGCGAAATATGAGAACGACTATCCCACACCATCCATGCCGAACAAATCAACCAAACGAAACATACCAACAAAACAAACTTAACCAAACCAAACGAACTAGCCGGACGTACCAGGCCAGACGAATCAGACCAACCAGGTTAACTACTCGACTAATCAGGCCAGACCACTTGGGCAACGCCTGTCGGCGCACATGATGAGATATTTAATGGGCCCATGCAATGAATAGGATATACATTAAAACGTGCGCACAGATAAAGAGAACACAGGGTGAAGATAACGGTGGGGAATCATGGAGAGACAAACACTACATATGTATATACATATAAGAATAACGCAATGCAGCGCAAAACAACAACAACTCCGCGCTGTGCGCTGTGTGCTGCGCAGCGCGGTAGAACAGACCAATCAGAACAAACAGGCCAGCTAGCTATTTAGACCAGCGGCGCGCATGATAAGATAGTGGGCCAATCAAAGCAACAAGGACGAGAGAAACGGACACGTGCGCAAATACAACGAATGCAGACGAAGAAACAATGGGTGGGAAAGGACGGAGAGATAATCAAGAGATGATGCACCACAGCGCAATTCAACAAGCTAACTCCGCGCTTCGCATTCGGCTCGCACGCGGACTCATTATCATAAACTCAGGATCCAGCAGCGAAGCAGCGGTACTCCGAAGCATACCAAAACTGCCTTCCAAACAAATGTATTGCAGCGACAAAAGCTGCACTTCAGAAAATCCAGTTTTGCTGTTATCGTGGTTGGCGCTGCCCGCTTGGAACCTCTCTGGGCCTCCTCAAACCGCATTCGGGTCGCACGCAGAATCAGAAACCCAAGCTGTAGCAGCAACAACGGCACTCCGAAACATACCACTTGTTTTGCTTCGACCGATCCTGAATGGAACCTTCGGTGGTTGTTCCCGACGGCGCGCGCGCCTGCTGGAACGACACTTTCTGGTCTGTTTGACTCCCTTGTTGACGGTGCTACTATACTCTGCGAGCATGCTCCCAAATTTGCCGTACGTATGGGTTCTCGCAAACTCTGATATGCTATGTAGCCGTCTACTGTGGCCTTCCCATTCCCACTCCCAACACATCGGTCCGCGATATTGTATTGGCTGCCCTTCTCCAGTACCACATATACTTGTCAACAATCTTACGAGTAATGCGGGTCCGAGTAGCAGCGAGACAAATGCTCGTAACCATAATCGTCGTATCCGTGATCGTGGCAGTAGCAGTCGTAGCAGTAGTAGCAGCAGCAGTAGTAGCAGTAGTAGTAGGAGTAGGAGTAGCAGCAGCAACAGCAGCAACAACAACATCATCAGCAACAACAGACGTAGCAGTCGTAGCAGTAGTAGCAGTAGTAGTAATATCAGTAGTAGTAGTAGCAGTAGCAGTAGCAATAGTAGTAGTAGTAGTAGTAGTAGTAGTAGTAGTAGTAGTAGTAGTAGTAGTAGTAGTAGTAGTAGTCGTAGCAGTAGTAGTAGTAGTGGTAGTAGTAGTAGTAGTAGTAGTAGTAGTAGTAGTAGTAGTAGTAGTAGTAGTAGTAGTAGTAGTAGTAGTAGTAGTAGTAGTAGTAGTAGTAGTAGTAGTAGTAGTAGTAGTAGTAGTAGTAGTAGTAGTAGTAGTAGTAGTAGTAGTAGTAGTAGTAGTAGTAGTAGTAGTAGTAGTAGTAGTAGTAGTAGTAGTAGTAGTAGTATTAGT